ATGCTTGGCATATTGGCAACTGCAGTTAGCCTTTGGTAATGTTTTAAAAAGGACGCTGCTGCATATCTCAGTAGCAGTGGTGTTATACGTACGAGAAATGGTTAAACTCATAAGGTTACTGTGGCTTGCACAAAACAATAGCAATGTGACAGTAATTGCAAATTACCCTAGAAAAATGCTAACTGTTGGCATATGTTGGACACGGTTTCAACTAATTATTGTTAATAATGGCATTGTTACTTTTAAAATATATGTAAGTGCCTAGTTAGTTGTAGATGAAAGCTTTTTCTCTCTTTCTTATATTGTTGAGGTTCGAGAATCACAGCTAGATAAGTTTATTATGCGATGCATTTATTTATTTTAATATGATTTGTTGGTGTTTAGTTCAGAAAGAAAAAAAGAGATGTTTAGAAAAAAGGTAACATTTTTTTTTTGTCTAAATGCACCTTCTTAATATAATGAATATACTTAAAGCCACAAATTCAATAATTTTATTGCTGGTAGGTCATTTGCAATAATTGAAAAATAATGAAAAATATGTTTTATCATCGCATTTTTACGAAACGACATGCGGCAGCGGCAGCTGTTCATGTACAAAAATTCGCTTATTCTATTATTTAATTTGTCGTTACATTGTGTCCGCCGCTCGGTGGCGCGCGTATAATGTTTCCGTATTTACGATTTACATGCGGAATCCGGACAGAAGTCAAGTTTCGACAGTGTCAACATGTCACAGTGACAATGGCCGTCACATGTCACGAGCTGTCAATCGAGGAGCATGAGAAGCGGGCGCTGACGCCCCTGGGACAACCGCTCGTGGGACTGATATTGACACACTAAACAAAACGTTCCAACTCTCAAACAAATTCCACTCGTTGTTACCAATGAGCAATCGCTCCCTCGGCACGGTGCACTTACCAGAAATATGTTTTAAAGACTCTTTGATTAATTGTAGCTGCCGCTACCGGTTAAAATATTAAATAAAAACTCGGTAGTCGACGGCTTTGCCTAAGTAGGTATCGTGTTTATGCTTTATTCATTATATTATATTTTATAGTTACAAAATTTATTTGATTTTCTTAATTTATGACTTGTGTACACAGTTATGAAGTATAGACAGTTATTCGCGCCCTATCCGTAGCATTATTGTGTGTGATCACACCCAGTCGGTTTAAGGACAATAGTGGAACTGTAAACGAGCGACGTCACTGTAAATCGGGACGAGTTGGCAAACAAAACGGGACGTTTCACCGACGCGTCACACAATGGGAGATTAATGGCTCTCTTTTTGTTATCGCTAGATGGTCTTTACCAGTTTTGTGGCCTCGTTTCACGGTTTATTTAGCTGTTTAAATATCAATGAGCGTTAAATTATGGTGTTACGTACAAAACAGTCAAAACAAAAATTGTATTATAAAATTTAATTAGAATTACTAATGACAAGGAAAATACTGTTAACACATTATAGACATTATTACAGGTAGGTGCATAAAAATATAAGTTCTTACAAAACACAGTTATTAGCTAGACACTAAAAATTATTAACGATGTCCCATAATATTAGATCTTATAGAGACCCATAAAACTGAAGTGTATTGCGGTGTAGGAATCTACATAAAAATATATGTTTGGTGAGCGATAGCTGGTGGAAGAGAAGACTTCACCGCAACCTCGTAGTCGCCGCTGTTTTAGTCGCTTTTTTGGCTATTAAACGCGAGTTTTTTGTGTCGCACGTTAACTGTCGCCTTATCATCGTGTTGAGTTGTCGACGCCTCCAGCCGGCCGCAATCAAAACACCATTCGAAGTAGTCATTAAAAATGATATAAAGTTTAATTTACAGCTTTGTCCCGTCTCCGGATTAACGGTTATCGAAATGTTATGTTCACGTTGGGACCCAGTGTGAAAATTGTTTTCTTTGTTCAAATGAAATTAAGTTTTATTGCTTAATGTTCTATTGCCTTGTTTTCAGTAGAGATATAGAGAAATTACTTATTTTAAACATTAATGAAATAGGTATTATAAACGATGCATGAAAGGAATCCAAAATTCGTGGTTGTTTACATTCTATATTCTATCCATCCACGAAACCACTTTCGTCAAATAGTCTTAAGAATTCCGTTATTAAGTTGCGAGTGGGTAATATTTACTTAAAATACATACTTAGATTTAATTCTAATTAACACTAAACACAAGATCAAGTTCCGTAATATTAAAATGGAATCCGTATAAAATAATGTAATGGAATTCGGACAACATAATCACTGTGGGGTCTGCTAGTCGTTTAAAATACTTAAGTAGACTGCATATTCTATTAGGTATACGTATCGTAGTTTCAATGATTCTTACCAGACGATGGCGACAAGACGTGCGACGAGCTGCGCGACGTTGCGATGTGCCCGCCCGCGTCCGCCCTGCGGGACGTGTATTGTTTACGAGTACGCCACTTCCACTACAATGATTTACGAACCGCCTGCACCCATAAAAGCGGGGACACAACGCACTAAAAGATACAAAAGGTGCTAAAGAAAAAGTAATATATTTTAAGTTGGAGCGAACGGATATAAAAGTTTCGTGAAATATATCAGTTTTAGTGCTGTGCGCGAGTGTTTGTTTATAGGGACGATTACGCACGCCTCTTCACGGGCCCTTGCCGAGCTCAATGGTGGATTCGTCACGACAGTTCTCACGTCTCCGCACCACGGCCTCGTGACCGCCGCTCTTTGCGGAATATTAACTCTGTGTTATTTTAAATACTCTATTGTTCATAATTAAGAGAATTCATTTAAAGTCACTGTAATGTCTGCATTGTTTGTTAAATGTCAAAACAATTAGTTAACAATTGAAATCATTATCATTTTTGCATTGTGTCAAATAAAAAGAAAGTTAATAATTTATGAATTGTATTTTATATTAATAAACGAAGGTACATTACTATTAGATGTTCAAATATCAGTGTATTGTAACGCATTGGGTAATTACCTCTTGTAATTCATAGTTCGTCCTAGAAGATATTGGTATTCTGTGTTTGTTGATATTACAAGAGCTTATTTATAAGCTTGCAAACAATTAGAAATGAACGTGTGCTCGCTAGTTGCAACCCGACACCTCGTTATCTGTCGTCGTCCGCAGCTACGACAGTTTGTTTTTTCAGGAGACCTTTCACCGGCTGCGGGACCTCGGCTGTCGACGGCCGACTACCGCCTTACACAAAAAATCCGTTCACTGCATTCGTATGCAATAATCTGTAAGGATTTATTCCGACCGCGTCGGCCACCCACGTGGTGCCCGTAATTCTTCCTGAACGAGCGAACTTCATTATTGTGGCGTGAGATACAATAGTTAAGAGCACGATTTATAAGTCCAACACGTTGACTTCTGTTTATAGCTAGCGGCGGGTCGCGGGCGCAGTGGGGGCGGGGATTACGTGCGTCTGCGCACCGATTTATGGCTGCACCTCGATAAAAGCTTAAATACTCTCAAGTGGGAATTATTCAATAGGCATAAGCTGCGGTTTCAGAGGAGGCATTGTTGAGTTGTAATAGAAACATGGAACGGAGCCGTTCAATGCTTCCATAAACTTCCATTCGCTGCAATTACTATTGCAACTAGAAGAGTGACTAAATGACTATGATGCTCTATGTGGTAGGTTTTTCTTTATTTTATACCAAATTTGAAGGTATAATATTAGGTAGACGATTTTTCCAAGCAATTCGTTTTTCAAAATTACAAAATTTTTCATACATCATTTATGCTAAATTGTTTAGAAGGCGTTCCGATGGAGTAAAATCCGAAGTTGCCTTCTGTGCCAAATTACTAATTTAGTACTTCATAGCAGAGCTATGAAACGATTGAAGAACGATTAATCGTAATCAAAATTCGACGACATTATTGAACAACTTCATAATGAGTACTTATTATTCAAAGAGAAGAAAATGAAAAATGGTACCGTAAATGACTACTTAGTTCCTTCAAATCATATGACTAATGGAATTAAAGTGACATACTTCCTCTTTGGACTCTATTATTTCGTAAGTTTGTTTAGAAAACCTTCGAGAAAAGTCCTTATGATATTACAGTACTTTATATTAATATTAGGGGTATTGTTAATTACGTTGAAATTATCATAGTCTTTGAGGGCTGTCATATAAATCATAAATATATATGTACATATTTATGTCCATTGTTCAGCTAATTAACATCAATAAAATACCTAATAAATATTGGTATTATATCAGAAAATGTTTATTATTATATTCAGAACAATTTATGGTTCACAGCTAGCTTAATCGTAAGTATAAAATTTTAATTGGCTAGGTAAATTGATCCTCTTTTTGTAAGTGGGTACTCCGATAGCGGTATTGATGGCAGTGAGGCAGACGTCAAGGGCAGAGGGCGAGCTATTTCGGTGCAGTATAGCAGCGGCAGTCAGATGTAAGGAGCAGGGAGCAGGCAAGGGAAGTAAGCTGAAACTAATCCGGCGCGCGGGTGGGCGCAACCCGACACCGCGTGCGCGCAGCTTACATTTGTCATTTATAATGCGCGCGATTTGTTGCTCCTCACCTCGGCTCACGCTTCGCGCCACTACAACCTTTTTATGTTCACTTATTCTTTATTCAAATATTCAAACATTGTGATGTTCGCTATATTTTTTAAGCCACTTTATGACTTCAGTTTTGTCGTATATGATCAGTGATATTTTTTGTAAAATGATTTTGTGAATATTTTATTGGTAGAAAAGTTTTTAGATGGATATTAAAGGATACGCATATTTCATAGATATAAACATAATACTCTTGTACTTTTTTTCTGAAATATTTAGTATTAGTGAAATACTTAGGTATTATGTACCTACAAGGTATCTATCTAGAAGGAAGCGAGTGTCACTCTTTTAAATAGACTAATAAGTATTATTGCTTATATTAATAGGTGTTATGGGGCAGGGTTTTAACACAGTTGGTGTTTTTGAAATGACTAGACTCGTAGAGTATCTGAATTGAACTGTACTTATTATTACAAATCGTCCATATATATAGTAGAGATATCTTAATTACTATTTACAATTACAATAGTCAAATACTTCCATCGAAAGAGTGACAACAAATACAGATAATAACTTACTAATGGAAATTTGTATGAGATAAACAAATATACAAATATGAATATTAAACAATATAATGATTTCGATATCAAATGGACAAATACAAATATACAAATAGGAATGTCAAATATTATAATGATTAGGTCGTAGGCTGACACATGGTCTTAGGTCACGTACTCTTAATATATGTAACACCTCCCCCCTTAGAATAAAGATTGGGCTTGAGAGCTTGATCTTTGAACTCTCGGTGTTGAAGTTCTTGGATAATTTTCTTCATTTTCCTCTTCGTCTTCCGTTACGCAGGTACTTGTTGCTATAGTAGTCATCGGGACGGCAACTTGGATTCTCTGACGTCGTGATGTGTTTGAAAAACAGTTGTTAAATATTTGTATACAACTATTATCACGGCTTGGTCTTCGGTTACGCAGGAGTAATCCATTAGGACAACGTTTGCTAATTTTATAAATGAAGTATCCTAGCATTGTTATGAATAACACGAAGTATATCCATGTAAACGTTGACGAATATCTTTGTAAGATTGGTCGAGATCTCATATTTTCTAAGCTTTCCTTAAATTTATCGACATGATGTTTTATTTGTTTCAGTGAATCCAAAGGCATTTCATTAATTTTAATAGGAATTAACTTTGGAGCTTCAAAGTTCTTGTATTCTTCAAAGCAATCGTCTGTTCTAATGTCTGGAACTATTACAGGATATGTTACATTTTCTTCAATAGATTGAAAGGCTGTTAGCGTACTATACCCAGTATAAAGTTTGCAGTTTTCCGGTAAGGATAAAATGCCTGCTCCTTGTAATTTATGATGTGTAACTTCCGTTTTACATTGAAGTATACAATTAGTGTCTTCTGTAAGTATGTAAAGCCATTGGTTGTTGTCAATGTTTTGAAAAGTGTTAATTCTTGCTTCAAATGTGGATGTGGTACAAATTTCAGGTAAAGTCTTTGAAATGCTTAACAGGATCTGGAGCTCACATAATGGACGTGATGCTGCTTCATATGCGACAAAAGAGGTGCAGATCTTCTTCTTTATAGCGTAGGACTTGCATGAAGTGAGGTCGCTCGTAGATACGTATATATTACCGCTAGGATTTGTAGCCAAATGCATGTGCTCAGGTAGGATGGTTGTATGCAGAGAGGAATTAAAATGTTGGATTGGAATGGAATATATGTGATAGAGATTGAGAGGTTCGCCTTGAATTAATGGAAAATCTAATATGTATACAAGCCTATCAGAATATACATAAGCAGAAAGAGAAGATAAGTTTAATATTTGATTTTACGAACAATATGCTTGCTAAACAATCATTAATTTCATTTTCTAGATTTATTACGGATTCTACTATCTGCAAAGAAATTACGGAAATGTCTACACTAGCCTAATCTAAAGATTTAAAATAAAGAACCTTTTAACTTGAATGTAAGTCATCGTTGAGACTGAATATTTTCATTAATTATTCGATCATCATAAGTTATCTTAAATATACTTTCATTGAAGTTTTTAGTTGTTGAAGAAATAATTAAGATTTGTTCGAGCATCAAGAAAGAAGATTCTATTACAAGTTTTTTTCTAATTTATTAAGGTAATATCGAATTGAACAAACATAAGAACTATTATTTATAAATTTATGTTTTAATTATGTTTTATTTTTTATTAGAAATAAAGACGATTTTAGGACGATTCGTAAGCTAACGAATATAACAAAAATGATATTTTGTATAATGATTAAAATTGATTGATTATTGAAGAATTATTGATTTAATTGATTATTGAAGAATTATTGATTTAATTGATTATTGAAGAATTATTGCTTTAATTGATTATTGAAGAATTATTGATTTAATTGATTATTGAAGAATTATTGATTTAATTGATTATTGAAGAATTATTGATTTAATTGATTATAGAAGAATTATTGATTTAATTGATTATTGAAGAATTATTGATTTAATTGATTATTGAAGAATTATTGATTTAATTGATTATTGAAGAATTATTGATTAAATTGATTATAGAAGAATTATTGATTTAATTGATTATTGAAGAATTATTTATTAAATTGATTATAGAAGAATTATTGATTTAATTGATTATAGAAGAATTGTTGATTTAATTGATTATTGAAGAATTATTGATTTAATTGATTATAGAAGAATTATTGATTTCATTGCTTATAGAATAATTATTGATTTAATTGATTATTGAGGAATTATTGATTTAATTGATTTTGAATATTGCTTATAATAAATTAATACTATAAGTTGTTTGATGTGGAAACAACTTAACATGTTAGAGCTATTCTTTGTACAAGCCGGCGTCTATACGGCTCATTGTTTGTTAGTCGCCTTATACGACACGTCAAATCTGAACGTCAGTGCTATTCTTTGGTAAAGCCGACTACTACACGGCTGATTGTTTGTTAGTCGCCTTATACGACACGTCAAATCTGAACGTCAGTGTTATTCTTTGGTAAAGCCGACTACTACACGGCTAATTGTTTGTTAGTCGCCTTATACGACACGTCAAATCTGAACGTCAGTGTTATTCTTTGGTAAAGCCGACTACTACACGGCTACTTGTTTGTTAGTCGCCTTCTACGACACGTCAAATCTGAACGTTGGTGCTATTCTTTGGTAAAGCCGGCTTCCACACGGCTACTTGTTTGTTAGTCGCCTTCTACGACACGTCAAATCTGAACGTTGGTGCTATTCTTTGGTAAAGCCGGCTTCCACACGGCTAATTATTTATTTAATTAACGAGTTTATTTATTTCATAAGGTCTTAATCTATTTGCGTGAACTAACTGATGTCTCCCGGATTTACGAATAACATAATTTTCATTAAAGCCTACACGTATCACATCGAATGGCCCTTCCCACTTATTATCTAAATTATTTGGGTTAGGGACCTTGATCATCACCTTGTCACCTACATTAAATTTAGCAATATTTTTAATTTTCCCGTCGTAACGTTCCTTGGCTTTTTCTTTCATTTTCTGAACGTTCTGTGTTGCGACATCGCGGGCTATTCTAAGTCGTTCGTTTAAATCTTTAATATAATCGAATGCAGTATAATCGGGTATTGTTTTTAATGAATAAAAAGGTCTTGGTTTAAAACCAAATAGAAGTTCGTAGGGTGTGAAACCTGTAGAGCTATTAACTGAGGTGTTATGACATATAATAGCCAGTGGAATAATTTGATCCCAATTTTTCAATTTACGTGCTTGGTACATTCGTATGTGATCTCGAAGTGTGGCATGAAACCTTTCTAATGCACCATTAGTTTGAGGGTGGTAAGCTGTATTAAAAGTTTGACTTGTACCGAGAAGTCTTATTAATTGCTTCATTAGTCCATTCATGAATTCAGTACCTTGGTCAGAATGGAAACGTCTAGGTACACCGAAATGTTGACAGAAGTGAAAGAGTTGCTTAGCAACTGTTAGAGCTTCTTTATCAGAAATTGGATAAGCTTGGACGTACCTAGTTAGTTCATCTTGTAGTGTCAATATGTATTTGTTATTATTGTCACTAATGTCAGAATATGATACTAAGTCTATAGAAACACGTTCAAAAGGTTCATTAGATTGGGATGTTAATACCATTGGAGCTTTAAAAGTTTTTCTTTGAATCTTATTGCGCTGACATATTTCACAAGAGTTTATGTAATTTTTGATGTCTTCGGCCATGTTTTTCCAGAAGTAATGTTCTCGAATTTTCCTAGTGGTTTCAATTATACCTCGATGTCCTGAGAGCGGTTCATCATGGTATGTTTTTAAAATGCTGGGAATTTCCTGAGGCGAAGGATGAGTAATTTTATTCTCGCAAATGATTATATTGCAATTATATATTTCTGCCAAATAAGCTGAGATATGTAGCTGTTGGTTGCCCTGAAGCTTGCAAGTTTGATCATATTTCAGGTTCGGTATATACAAAGTTTCAATATTATGCTTATGTAAGCACGATAACAATGATTTAAAATAACTCTCCGCGTCCCATGGATCATAGTATGATGTTCTAGTATAACAAAGGAAAATGTTTTGCTGATATTCAGAAGTTATTTTATCTATGTCGTAGACTTGCTTTTCTGTTTCAGGTTGATTGCTTTGGGAAGCACATAGATCTAAAGCTTCGTTGTATAAGTTATTAAGATCTGATTTTTGACACGACACAGGGATGAAGATATTTTTATGATTAGACTCTAAAAGATTTTCAGGTGAAGTTTTAAGCTTATGTGAATTAGCGCTACAACCTTGAGATAAGAATTGTTCATAGTTTGTTTTTAATAATGTTTCAAATTGTTTTTCAGGGTTGTCTGTACCCATATTTAATATAGGTGGTCGTGATAAAGCATCGGCGTTTGTATTATTTTTTCCGGCTTTGTAATTTATTTCATATTCATATTCTTCTAGTTTCAGTCTCCAGCGAACGAGACGTGATCCCGGATCTTTAATGGAAAATAACCATGTGAGTGGTTTGTGATCAGTAAATATTTTAAATTTTCTACCGAATAAATATGGTCGAAAGTGTTTCACGGCCCATACTATTGCGAGAAGTTCGCGCTCTATGGTAGAGTAATTACTTTCAGCTTTATTTAACGTACGTGATGCGTAAGCAATAGGTAAATCTTTGCCAATTTCACCTTGCGAGAGAATCGCTCCGATAGCGTGGATTGAAGCATCCGTAGTTAATATAAACTCTTTAGTAAAATCGGGATATTGTAACAGAGGAGTCGTTGTGAGAATTTCCTTACAGGAGTCAAAAGCCTGCTGTTGTACACAACTCCATGTAAACGGAACATCCTTTCTTAATAAGCTTGTTAAAGGCTTAGTGAGCTTACTAAAGTTAGGTATGAACCTACGATAGTAGCCTGCGAGACCAAGAAATGATTTGATATCTTTACATGATTTAGGGACTGGAAACTCACGAACTGATTTCACTTTTTCGGGATTTGGCTTTACGCCTTCACTCGATATAATATGACCCAGGTAAGCAACTTCTTTTCTCAAGAATTCGCATTTATCTGGTTGTATTTTCAGACCGTATTTTCGTAACCGATCGAATACTTCAGTTAATTTCTGTTTATGTTCTTGAAGGCTGGATGCAAACACTACGATATCATCAAGATAAACAAAGCATCGTTCTCCTTGTAATCCGTAAAGTACACTATCCATGGCACGTTGGAATGTAGCTGGTGCATTTTTGAGTCCGAAAGGCATTCTTAAAAATTCGTAATGACCAAAAGGAGTACTGAAGGCAGTTTTGGGAATATCCTTGGGGTCTAATTCAATTTGATGGAAACCGGATGCCAAATCTAAAGTTGTGAAATATACTGAATGTCCTAACTTATCTAGTATGTCAGTTATGTTAGGCAACGGGTAACTATCTCCAATAGTGACGTCATTTAATTTTCTATAATCAATTACAACACGCCATTTTTGTTTTCCAGACGCGTCTAATTTTTTTGGAACTACCCAGATTGGACTGCTCCATGGAGAAGTACTATCTTTTATAATATTCTGTTGTAACATTTTGTCTATCTGATTTCTTACTTCTTGTTGGTGTACTTGAGGGAATCTATAAGTTTTAGTATTAATTGGTATATCTGACGTAGTAGGAATAGAATGTTTAGTGTGATTCGTGAACGTTAGTGGATCGCCTTCCACGTAGAAAATGTCCGAATATTCTGAAGTTATTTTATCGAGAGATTCGCTTTCTTCTTTATTTAAATGATCACACCTTATAAGGCTCCCGATATCTATTCTTTGTTTTATAGAGATGTTGTTAATTTGTGAATTGGGTAAGGAAACAGACTGTTGAATTAGTTCCGATTCGTTAACAGAATTTACATCTATAATAGGCGTTGAAATATATACGTCATTATCACTCGAGTTTACACAAGTAATGAGAAAGCTATTATTTTTGACATTAACAAGAGCATTAGGAATACAGATATCGTTACTAATGTTTTGCTTATTTATCATTGCAGTTCCGTCTGAGATATCATTAGTTAAACATGATATAACTGTCTCCGAACGACGTTTGATAATTTGTTTACCATTATCAAAGTACTTTGGTTCATCTCCCAGAAGGAACAACTGATAAGTCCTGTCATGTATTCGCATCGTTTTTGATTGAATATAAATGTTGACATTGAATTTTGACATGAAATCATTACCGAGTATACCATCAGCGTGTATGTTTAAATTTGCGACATGGAATTTAAATTTTGGAAATTGATCTAATGAAATGTGGGATGTGCCACATGTTTGAAAAGGCGAATTTTCATTAGAGATACCAATAATAGAAACGACGTTTGATGTATCGATGGTATTTTTACCGATTTTATTTTTATTTATAACTGAAATGGCTGCTCCCGTGTCTACTAATAACGTAACTGGTTGGCCATCAATATGAAATTTACAGTGCAAAAGATTTTCAGGAGGTATATTTAATGTAGAGATATTGTAAGATTCATTAGGATAAGCTCTTTTCTTTATTTGATTCGATTTTAGTTTTATTTTTGATTTTTGTTTCGATTTACGAGATTTTTTTGATTTTTTAGTCTTTGTAGTTTGTTGATTGCGCATGGGATTTGAATTAGATTCTTTTAATATAGGTTTTAGACATTGATCTTTTTCAGAATTAGTGGAATTAGTGATACAATCTACAGAGTTAATAGGTTTCTTTGATTGATTTAGTAAGGTTTCTGTGACCTTTATAAGAGATTCAGTGATCTTTGTGAGATTAATGATTAATGATTCAGAGAGCTCTAAGTTTGACTTAGTAGCTATCGTGGTTTTATTATCACAAGTACACACATCGCTTAATTGTCCCCGATGGACTGGAATTGTTTGCGCTTGTGTAGTGATGTTTGTATTAGATAATGTAGTATGACACTGATTACTATTGAATTTTACTGAATTTGAAGATCGTTTATTTGAGGTTCTAGGGCAATATCCTGACCCTCGGTGATCATTGAAATATTTGGGCAATACGTGGGAACCGTTTCCGAAACTGTGCCCGTCAGCTCGGCCGGTTGCAAGTTTAAATGATTTACTCGAGCTGGAGTCGGATTATTTCGCGGAAATTGGTTATTACGACTATTATTAAATATTCTCTTTCTACAATTAGTTATATGATGTCCGGGTTTTTTACAATAATTACATATAATAAATTTTCGCGGATTGGTATTAATAGTATGTTTATCTGGTGGTTTATGTATTTGAGGTTGATTGATCTGAGGTGGTTGACGAACGACATTGCTATATAGCGGTGTTGTTATTTGACTATTTTTAAACAAACTTTGCCTAGCCGTATTCATTTTTCGAATTTTTTCTTCTTGAATTGCAAAGTTTCCAGCATGAGTTAATGAATCAAAACCTTTTGTTCTTAACATTACACCTATGTCAGAACTCAATCCATTAATAAAAACGTTCAGAGCTGTTTCTTCCGTAGTAGTTTTTCGTCCTATTAATGTCGCATCTACCACTTCAGTTGTTAATTTTTCTAAAATTTTATTTCTACATAGATCTACGCGGTGGAAAAATTCCGTTACCGATTCATTTGGTTTCTGAAAGAGTGATTGTAGTTCGAGATTTAGATGTGAAAGAGTTTTTGTTTGCGAAAATTTTTGTATAAGGAACGTTTTTAAGTCGTCCCAGTTTGAGTATAGTTTCGCGTGGATATCAGAAGAAGTATTCCCACTTATTTTATTTAAAGCATAAA